TGGGGGGAGGGGCGCTGGGGACAGGGACCCTGGGACAGGGGCCCTGGGGACGCACTGTGGATGGGGCTGGTATGGCAGGGACGGGGGTTCTGGTCTGCTGAGGCTTGCAGGCAGCAAGAGTGGGATGGATGGTCCAGCCAGTAGTGCGGAAGCCAGGGTGTTCTCTGAGTCGTGGGTGTGGGCCTAGCTGAGAAGAGAGCCTGTGGGGAAGAAGGAGTGATGGTCTGTGGAGAAGGGGTTAAAAGGGAAACACAAGTAGACCACAGCTGAGAAGGGAGATACTCGCCTTTCTTAGGGCTGTCCCTTCGTGTCTGTCTTTCTGTTGGGTTTTGGGTTTTCCCATATTGACCTGTAGCAGTTACTGACGGTCTTTTATTGTTCACGTAAAATTCTTGTTCCTACTTTGTCCTTCATCATTTGACTCCGTTTATGATATCTTCTGCCGTGCGAAATTATTTAATTTTTACATCATTACATGTCTGTCTGTTACGTTCTAACGTAGGTTTTCTTACAGTTAGAAAAGCCTTTTGAATTCTACAAACTATTTTTCAGATTCTCCCATTTTCCAATGTACTTGTATAGTTTAATCCATTTGGAATTTATTTTAGGGAAACAGCGAGAGTCCAGTTTTATCTTTTTTTCCAGATGACTACCCTTTGCACCTCTTCTGTTGTGTAACCAAGTGTTCTAAAACTTAGCATCTTAAGGCAGCAACCGTTGTTATCCACGGTCACTACCGGCCAGGGGCCCAGGCCCAGCTCCTCTGCTCGGTTCTGGCTTGGGGCCTCCCGTGGTCACAGCTTGAAGGCTCGACCGGGGCCGGGGGTCTGTTTCCACGATGGTGCCCTCACCTGGCCGTGTGCTGGAGGCCTCCTTCCTGGCTGGTGGCTCTCTCCCTGGGCCGCTTGAGTGTTCTGGCCGCTCGGCAGCTGGCTTTACCCAGAGGGAGAGCTCCCGGGGAGCAGGTGGGAGGCTGCTGCCGTGCCTTCTGGGACCCCCTGAGTCTCCACAACGGGAATAACGAGGAGGTGCCCGGGAGCCTGGGGCCGAGCCCTGGGGCCAGCGCCTGCACCCACCTTCCCCGCCGTTCTCTGAGAGCTAGCAGGGTCCAGCTTGGGGTGGGGCCTGTGGCTCTGGGGACATGCTCTGCACTGTTGGTCACCTCTTTGTAAGATGGGCTGTCCCGAAGAATTGCCATTGAGCCTTTTGTGCAGAGGCCTGCTGTCATGACTGTGACCAGGGGGACTGGGATGCTGGGGGTGGGGGAGGGGGGGACCTTCCATGTCACCTGCTGGGATGCAGGGGACCCCAAAGACACATCTGCCTACAGCTTCTTCAGTTTTTGTTTTTGTGTGGTTTTTTTCTTTTTTTTCTTTTTTTTAATAATTTTGGATGAACCAACGCTAGGTGTTTTGGTTTCTAGTACTTTCTGTATTCTGGAGATTAATGTTTTCCTGCCTGTGCCCAAAGGAAGTGGGAGGCTGTGTCCTGGCTGCTGGTGGGAAAAGGCGGTTTGAAGGGGCCGAGACTCTCTTCCCTGGAGACCCGAGGGCCTCTGACCACGGGGGCAAGTGCATCCCTGTAGCCCCATGAGAAAGAGCCGGAGCGAGCCGACTGGCCGTGGGGGAGGTAGAGGCCATGAGGCCTGGGTACCGTAGGAGGGACCTTCCCTCCCGGCTAGCTGGGCCCTTGGGAGACGGCAGCATCCCCTGTAACTGCTGCCGTCTGTCCCTTGGAGCAGATCTGTGTGCCCGTGGAGTCGTCCAGCCCTCTGGTGGTGAGCAACCGAAAGGAGGTGTTACGCTGCTTCACTGTGCTGGGTAAGCCGGCAGCCCACGCGGGGCCATCTGCGGACACGAACGTCTGCTCACGTGGGGGCCGGTGGACCGCTCGTGTGCAGGGGGTGGTGGCAGCTTTGGGCATGGGTTGGAGGTGAGGAGGCTTTGGTGTGTGGGCTGCAGCCCCCGGGAGGACCCCGGGGCTTGCAGGTGCCAACAGTGAGCAGGGAGCAAAGATTATTACAAACGATTATTTGGCTCTCTGCTTGCCCGGCAGCGTGCTGTTCGCCTGACCGCCTGCTGGCCTTCCTGCTGCCCAAGCTCGATGCCAACAACGAGAGGACCCGCGTGGGCACCCTGCAGGTCGTGAGGCATGTCATCAACTCAGCTGGTGAGTGGCCAGTGTGGGGCAGGGCCTGAAAGAGGCAGATAGTGACCATCTTTTGGGTGAAAGGATCTTGCTCCGATCTGTGGACGTTGGCCTTTGATAGGTGGCTGTGGACGCTGGGGCTGGGCCAGGCGCTGGCCGCTCACCCCCAGGCCTGATGTCGTTGTCTGTCACGACTGCCCCTGGGGGGGCGGGTGCCGGTCAGGGACACGCACTGGTGATCTGTGTCCTGGGTGCGGGGCTCTGTGAAGGGTGTGGGCCGGCTGTCCTGCAGAGTGCCTTGCGATCTGTGTGTGTCTGGCTCCCTCACAGTCACATGGAAGGGTTCAGCCTTCTGCTTCTAAGGTTAATCTAACCAGCAACAGCCTGGACATTTTTCACACCCGAGCTTGTGTTTTTCCGTAAGTTTTGGTCGGTAAACACTGGCCATGGGCCACGGTATGCCTGCAGCCTGCATTCAGACAGCCCAAACTGTGAGTGGATTTTTCACGTTAACAGGTCGTAAGAGCAAAGAAGGATATGACAGAGGTCACATATGTTCCTTGAAGCCTAAGATAGTTTTGTTTCTTTTTTTTAAATGTTTACTCATTTTTGAGAGAGGGAGGGAGAGAAGGAGAGTGTGAGTGGGGGAGGGGCAGAGGATCCAAAGCAGACTCCGAGCCGTCAGCACAGAGCCTGACGCAGGGCTCGAACTCAAGAACCGTGAGATCATGACCTGAGCCGAGGTCAGACAGTCAACAGACTGCGCCCCCCCAGGCGCCCTGGCCTAAAATAGCTTCTGCTTGGCCCTCTAGGGAACACGTATGCTGACCCCTGTCCCGTGAGGTTCACTGTGGGTCGGTGCTGGGTCACACACAGTGCCTGTGGACCCGGGGCACATCTTATGGAACTTGGAACGATGCCCCTTGGGAAGAGGCAGGGACACGGGAGGACGGTGGCAGCCGGGGCTGCGGCCCAGAGTGTGCCGCGAAGCCAGCAGCGCGCCGACTCGTGGGGGAGGGCTCCTGACCTCGGAGGACGGCGGCGGCCACACAGACAGCGGAGTGCACCCTCCCCTGGTTCCCGCGGCCCCCACACGAGCCTGGTTTCACTGATCAGGAAGCTGAGGGTGAGGGAGGTGGAGGGACTTGCCTGCCGCTCGGGCCGTGGCCTCCGTGTTGGTGGCGGGACTGGGCGCAGGCGCAACGGCTGCTGTGCGTTCAGATGCTTGGACTTCCCCGCGACTGAGGGCGCTGCCCGTCCTTTGCCGATCGCTCCGCGGCCTTTGTGCTCTCAGACTCTCTTGCGCTCATGGGTTTTATCTGTGGGTTCCCTCTCTGGGCATTTATGTGCGTGTGTGTGTAAAGAAATAGACTTTCTAAGTCTCAAATGACACCGTTCAAAAGCACGCTTTCTCACTCTGTACTATACCTTAGAGAGTTACTAGCGTCAGTGTGCTTTATTACTTGTATTTTGAAGTGCAAGCCCCGTACCAAACAGCACACGCTTCTGCCGTTCAGCTTAACGAGCCTGTGAGGCCCCGGCCCGGCCCCGCAGGCCTGGAGCCCCGGCTCGACTTCTGACATGTGGTGCAGATAGGATCCTGGCACATGAATTACTTCGTCCCTGGCTTCCGGCCCTCGACACTCTGTGGGACGTGTTCGTGTGGTGTAGCCCACTCCTTCCCTTTCCGTGAGGTGTTCCAGGGGGTCAGTCTATGCTCCACCGCCCCACTGCAGGCAGGTGACGGGCTGTGTCCCGTGGCATCTGTTGTCATGCACGATGCTACCAGTGACGTTTGTCCTGTGCACATTCAGCTGAGTGTGCACCTAGGAGTAGAGTCTCATGTTGTAAGGTACGCATATGTTCAACTTAGTGGATGAAGCCATTCTGTTTAGGGGTGCCTGAGTGGCTCAGTCAGTTAAGCGTCCGACTTCGGCTCGGGTCATGATCTCACAGTTCAAGAGTTTGAGCCTGCATTGGGCTCCTCTGTCCCCCCCTCTCTCTGCACCTCCCCACTCGTTCTCTGTCTCTCTCTCTCTCAAAAGTAAATAAACATTTAAAAAATTAAAGAAGCGGGGCGCCTGGGTGGCGCAGTCGGTTAAGCGTCCGACTTCGGCCAGGTCACGATCTCGCGGTCCGTGAGTTCGAGCCCCGCGTCAGGCTCTGGGCTGATGGCTCGGAGCCTGGAGCCTGTTTCCGATTCTGTGTCTCCCTCTCTCTCTGCCCCTCCCCCGTTCATGCTCTGTCTCTCTCTGTCCCAAAAAAAATAAATAAACGTTGAAAAAAAAATTTTTTTTTAAATTAAAGAAACAAAATGCTGTAATATGACTAAAAAGTTGGGGCTGTAGTTGGATTCCCAGGCACTGTGGTCTGGGAAGCCGTGTCCTGCGTGGGTGGGCTCTGCCGTTCCGTCGGACTGGCCGCACGCGAGGTTCCTGCCTCTCGCTTTCTTTCCTTGCTGCATTGTCCCTTAGCCTCGGTTACTGTCACTGAGAAATCTGGTACTGATTTTCCTCGCAAGCGATTTGGTTCGTTTTGCCTGGATGTCCAAGGATTTTTATTTTTTTATTCTAAATCCAGAAATTTTATTGACTGTGTTGGCTGTTCTGGGGCGATATTCTGCCCACGTCTGTGAAGTGCCCTTTCGGTACGTAGTTTCCGATCTTATTTTGTCTTGGGATTTTTTTAACAGGCTTTCGATACTCAGCTGTTTCCAGACTCCTCTTTAGCGCCCTGTCGGGTGTGCTGTGTTCTCTTTGCCTCTTTGCCTGCCTTCTGTACTTTTTACCTCAAATGCTTTAAAGTATTTTGGCCTCTAGTTCCTGTTTTGTTTTTTTCTTCAGAATTTCACTTTCTAGGGGCGCCTGGGTGGCTCGGTTGGTTGAGCGCCCAGCTTCGGCTGGAGTCATGATCTCGTGGTTCGTGGGTTCGAGCCCCGTGTCGGGCTCTGTGCTGATAGCTCAGAGCCTGGAGCCTGCTTCGGATTCTGTGTCTCCCTCTCTCTTTCCCTCCCCCGCTCGCACTCTGTCTCTCTCTCTCTCTCAAAAGTAACTAACATTCAAAAAAAGATTAAAAAAAAAAACAACTTCACTTTCTAATATTGAGAACAAATTGCATTCAGTAAAATGCACAAATCTCGGGGCGCCTGGGTGGCTCAGTCGGTTGAGCATCTGACTTCGGCTCAGGTCATGATCTCACGGTCTGTGAGTTCGAGCCCCACGTGGGGCTCTGTGCTGACAGCTCGGAGCCTGGAGCCTGCTTGGGATTCTGTGTCTCCCTCTCTCTCTGACCCTCCCCCACTCATGCTCTGTCTCTGTATCAAAAACAAATAAACATTAAAAAAAAATTTTTTTTAATGCACAAATCTCAAGTGTACAACTTGGTGACATTTTACATGTTGTTCAAGCACGTGACCGTTACTCAAACTGTGGAATGTTTCCGGAACCCAGCGTCTCCTCGTGGTTGTTTTCAGACAGCAGCACCTCTACCCTAAATTGATTCTGCCTGTACTGGGATTTCATGTAAATGAGTTCACTACAGCAGGTGACCTTTGTGTCCGTCTTCTCTCACCAAGCATGATATTTTTGAGATATATTCCGTCATGTCTTGTGAGTAAAACATGTTTTTTTGTTAGTGGGTGTGGATATCGTTTTCAGTTTGGGGAGATTGTGAAGAAGGCTGGTGTGAACATTCTTGGACGGACCAGTGTGTGGGCGTGTGTGCTCATAACTCCAGGTGTGGAATTTCGGGGCCATGGGACAAGTGCATGTTTAATATTCCCGGAAAGGCCATATGGTTTTACCCGATAGTCACGCTCAGCCCCGCGCAGTACATGGGGCGGGGGCAGGCTGCGGCAACCCCGGCTTCCCGGCCCGCTCCGGCCGTGGCCCGGAGTCTTCATTTTAACCGTGTTGGTGTCTGTGTGATAGCGGTGCCTCTCCACGGCTCGAACTGGAATTTTCTAAGAGTAGAGTGGGTAAGCATCTTTTCGTGTGCCTGTTGGCCTTCAGATATCTTTTTGGTCCAAGTCTTCTGCCCATTTTAAAACTGGGGTTTTTTTTTCTTATGGTCATGTCTACGAGCCGTTTGTCAGATCCGTGTAGATGGGGTGTGCCTCCTCCTGGGGTCGGCACCTTTGTGTCTAAGAAGACTCTGCCCTTCCAGAGGACGTGAAGATTCTCTCTTTTCTTCTAGGAGCTTTATTGTTTGAACTCGCACATTCGGTTCTTTGATTCATTTCTAATTAATTTTGGGGATGGTGTGAGCTGTAGGGAGCGAAGACTTATCTTCACATGGGTACCCCGTGGCCCCAGCACTGCTTGTTGTGCAGACTTTCCTTTCCCCGTCATTCTAGTGCTTTCTGGACGTACTGGTCTTCTGGGGCTGCCTTAGCGAAGTACCGCCACTTGGGTGCCTGAGCCACGGTGTATTGTCTCACGGTGTCAGAGGTCCGAGTGCCAGCAGGGTGAGGGAGGACCTGTCCCAGGCCCCCGCCCAGCTTCCGGAGCTCCCGGGGGCCCTTGGCATCGCCCGGCTTGTGGCGGCGCCGCCCTGACCTCCGTTTGCGTCTTCATCCCTGCAGGCACCTCCCTGTGTGCCTGTGTCCCAGATTCCCCTTTCGTGAGGGCACAGTGGTACTGGAGCAAAGGCCCACCCTACTCCAGTGTGGCCTCATCCTGACCTAACGAATCGTACCTCCAGGGACCCTATTCCAAGCAAAATCACATTCCAAGGTACTAAGAGTAGGGACTCGACATTACGGGTTAGCAGGTGTCTTTCAGGGACTCTTCTGTCCCACGGACCTCCCCACACCAACAGCACGCGCCCTGAATCGTTGTGCCTTTGTAGAAGGTCTTCCGGTCTGGGAGTGCACCGCCTTCAACTCTGTTCAAGACTGCTCGTCTCCATTAAAAAAAATCTTTTCGGTATAAGATGGATCACAGGCAGAAACCACGGAATATAAACATATGACTTAACAGCTCATTTTGGTTTTTTTTTTT